GAGAGAGAGAGAGAGAGAGAGAGAGAGAGAGAGAGAGAGAGAGAGAGAGAGAGAGAGAGAGAACAATATCAAAGCTAAGCACAAAATTTGAGCAGCACAGATAGCTCCCCGATGACGACTGGCATTAGAAACCACAGTGGTTTTCCATTAGAGTAGCTCGGTCAATTTCTGTGTACATTTCAGAATGAAAAAATACAGTGTGAAGTTATACATGATCTGTTTCTTACAGTTAATCCTCCACAAACTCCTAAACTTTTAGATGATAGTAAGGAAGAGTCTTAATTCAAACTTAAATCACAACAGTTCACTGCAGGTGTCATTCCTGAAGAGGTGTTTTTATGGAGGCTCTCCAGGCACTACAACACAGATGAAGCAGTAAACTTTCCAAATGGATTTGTTTCTGTCCTCAGCTCCAGTATGCCTACAGGGAAAAATAACAATGTTGTCCAAGTTGTGCCCTTTGTTTCACCTGCTTTTTTCACCATGGCATCCCATAACTCTCAGACTACATCAGGCTTTCCATCTCATTCAGCAATATTCTTGATTTGGAGCTGACCGCAACAGTCCAAGACATTAAAAATACGCTGCTGTTTTACCTTTAAAACATGGAGTTAAGTCTATCACTGTGTTACAGCTAAACAAAATAACATGATGCACTTAAAGGAGATGACGTTTTATGAGGTTCTGTGAAAATGTGAGGGATTAACTGTGCTGTTTTGGTTAGGAAGAAACCAAAAAAGAAAACAACAAAAATAAATAAATCCAATGAACAAAAAATAACACAATACTTGTTTTATTTCACATCCACGCTAGAAATAAATGAAGCTCAGAAAGATTTCTACAAAAATAATTTCAATGGAGGTCTATAAAATCTAATTTAAGGGGAAATCATCTATTCAAGTACTAATTAAAGGCCTGGTATTAAAAAAGGAGAGCATATTGATCCCCACATTTCAGAGCTTTAAGTAGTGCAGAACAGTGCTAGCTCTGGCCATTTTGGTGCCCTAGGCGAGTTGAAGTGCAACCCCCACCCCCCCCGAACTATGTCCCACCCACCCCAATTTTAACCCCTAAAAACAAATTTGACAGTGTAAGGTACTATGGTAAACAGATTTATTGGCTTTCCCAGAAAACAAATAAATAATAACATACATGTCAACTTGAACAGATTGACCGTAAGTTATAAGGATTTTACGTCATTTTGCAGGTATACGGACATATCTCACGGATTTTTTTCAAGTCTTACAGATTTTTTCAAAACCTCATTTTCAAATTGATCTAACATGTCAGAGCCTGTAGGATGATTTAAAAAACAATAAATAACATTAAACAGCCATCTTCCAACCCGTTCTTCCGGTAGAAATAAGTTTTAAACTTTTTCCGCTCTCCCTTCCTCCTGTTTCGCAGCGGGCGCTTTCACCCCCCCACCCCCTGTTTTGGTCAAACCTTGATAAAAAACCTTTATTCAGTATCACCAGAGTCACACTCAGAGTGTGTGTAGTAAATACTGTAACTCTAACAAACTGTAACAAAGTTGACCCAGTGTTGAATGACAATATTTTAAACAAATACCTAACATAATCAGTTAATACACAAAGTCGGGGTGAGTCTCAGTACACAATTAGCAGTTCAAAAACTGAAACCTGTGAAACTTTACATTTATTCAGAGGAATTTAAGAATGATTTTACTTAATTTCCCCTACAAAAAAATAGTTACTATCATTCATTTTATCGACACAGTCATTCTAAAAGAATACCAGATAGATATTGAGATAAAAATTATAGATTACAGATTGAAATTTAGCCTCAGTCTGTGCCCATATATAGTAGACCAGTTATGTTTAGAAACCATTTGTCTGTTCATAAAGCTATGAAATCACCAGACATATAGGGGAGGGAAATAAATAAGTGGTGTCTCAAAAGCTTTTTTTTTCTTTTTGGATTTTTCTAACTAGATTATTGAGGTGCACCAGGGCATCCTAATCCCTAAACCTAACCACAAACCCTAACCCAAAGACCTAATCCAACATGTCAACATCTGAAGTGAGGGGAGTGCCTGCACTTTAAAACGTGACGCAGATGGAGCCTGACCAAGCGTCACGAGTAGGGAGTGAGAATGTGTTGTGAACTTTAATAATAACTCTGATCTCATCAGCTAATCACCTTGTTAAAAACTCCTCTGTATTTTTTTTCCTGGTGGATCAAAATTTCACAACATTTCTAGCCTCGTAAAATCATGCTAAGTTGCGTATTTAGTTGAATTTTTTTCTTCTTTTTTTCCCACTTCAGTAGAAAGCAGAACTGCATATCTGAATATTAGTATCTTAGCTTCTTCATCATCAGTGGATTGTTTAAAGAGAAAAAGAAAGAAAAAAAGTGAAATGTAATGAGAAAAAGTGAAAGAAAGATTAGAAGATATCTGAAATATACAGTAAATTGAGAAAACACAAGACAGCACACCGACTTCTTGGCTCCACACCTACAAAAACAAAGATAACAAAAACACAGCAAAAAAATGCATATCTATATGATTATAATGATTATAGCCTTGCTGAAAACCATACCCATATACAGTACATATATACATATGCAGTATTTATACATATACATACATACATGTATACAGACATGCATATATACATACATACTGTACACACATACATACATGCACACACACATACATACCCATATACATACATGCACACACACAAACACATA